AATTGATATTCTTTATATAGTATGTTTAGACTTTGTTTTAATTTCTGCACATCAAAAGGTATATATATATTTATTTATTTATTGGTATTTGTTTTTGTTGGTGGTTTTGGGGAGACCGGTGGATCGGCTTTCTATAGAAAAGCGCACTGATTGTTCTTACCCTTAATTTATTAACAATGAACTGTTATTTATGTGTATGTTTTATTTCAGGTATTGATGTGAGAGTTTTATTGCATTGTCTTATTTTTATTATTATTGATAATCAATTTATTTTACCATCTTTAATTTGACTTGATATACTTTTATTAATTTATTATATCTGTTTTTATTTATGACTGTACACCAATTTTATTGCATTACGGTTGTCCACCGCTATACAACTTTTTATTTATACATTTTATTTACCACTACTATTTATTATGTTCTCTGTGACTTAAGTTACATGTTATTTTATTTTACACATTGTTTTTGTTTGTTGCTGTACATTGATAATAGTTCAATTTGTATTTGCTATTTAAACACCGTCCGAGCTTAACATTTATGTAGGTGAATAATCTTAACAATATGATAATATGATTGATGATATTATATTTGATTACTTGATTACTTTGATTTTGTTATATTATTTATATTGTTTAGATGTGCGACACATATGCATGTCTGGATTGTATATGTGGGTTTTTAAGGTTTTACCTTATTAACTTAAATCAATGATACTTTTCAAATACACACGTTTTTATTTATATTGTTAGTGTACAGTAGCAAATAATATTAACTCTTGTATTAATTGTTTTTATTAATAAACTTATTTTAATTTAATACTTTTTCTTTGCTTTTTAAATATCTTTTCAATTGCTCAAGTACTTACGTATCCAGAACCGTATTCACAACAAAAAGGGGTCCTAATTTAATTTCTTTAAACTAGACGATCACGTGTTTTGGCCAAAGGTAGTTTTTTTTGTGGTTTTAATATTCTTTTTAAATTATTTTAAATGTGCCCCCTTGCCCCCGTTCGTTACAGTATAAGGTATTAAATTTTTATTTTAGTAATATTTATTATATAATTAATTAAAAAAACGGTATAATAGATTGGGATTCACCTTGCGCTAAAGGTACGTATGGCTGAGCGCTCCACACTCTGCGCCCTCTATCTCAAAAACGGTTCGACGTATAAAAAAATGTTGTATACAAAATTTGTAGAGAAGTTTATTCTCTACAACTTTTATAATAAATGCAAATACGATAGGAGGTAGAGAAAACGAGATATTCTCAAAAAACTGATTTTTGCGACCTTTGACCTTGAATATCTAAGGCCGCTCACACGTTGGCATATGTGACTTTTGAGACAACATTTGTAATGCTAAAATTCACAAAAATTCAGCTTATTCCGTTAGATTCCGAGGTTGATCCCTTTTTTTGACTAAGATGACTGTACTATTTTCGCTTGGTTGTAGAAAAAAAATATTTGTATACAAATAATTTAGATGATACCCAAGTAAAAAAACAACTTGGAAAATAACGAAAAACTTACCCTTTGTAGACGTATCTATTGTTTAGGTAATTCAGAATATTTTAATTTACAATTCTGCGTGATATATCAATAGTGGGAGTTGATAGACCATAGGCGCCAGATAATTGAATACAATGAACACAGGAATATGAGAAGTTAGCTTTTTGCATTTTTCATTATCTGAATTGTTATAAATTGTATGTATGTATGTAAAAATAATTAATCATGTAATTATATAATATATATGAACTTTATTATAGTATATGAACTATATTATATAATACATAAGAATATTTTATACCTATATAATATATATAGCGCGGTTTTGCAGCGATTACATAAAAATGATTATATTGTGACATTATAGTTATTTTTTGCACATGCATAAAGATAAGTGTTTACTTTTTTAACTCTGGTTTTTGTAAACATTTTGACTTCATCGCTGGAAAAGTTCCGCGGTATAATAAATTATTATTAATAATATATTATAAAATTGTTTTAAACAACATCCATTTTATTTCTTAACTTTAACAGGTGGGCAAAATTTTACTTCTCCCACTAGTGGTCGAAATAGCAGTTTGCCCACAGGCTGAAGTTAGCTTTAAGTAAATTTGGAAAAAAGTAAGGTTAAAACTAATTGATAGCTGTCAGATGTCAAATAAAATATAACATAATGGCCTTAAATTCCTTTCCCATAAACTAAGGGGCAGCTATTTTGGAAATAGTTGTGTGGCTACTGTATATAAATAGCATAATAATATTAATAATAATGCTAATACCAGGTATGGTAATAAAAATATACAGATTTAAAATTAAAGTTAAATAAAGAATAACCTAACTAAAAAGTAAAATTATATAAATACTTAGCACTAAACATTACACATTATAAGTAAAATATTCATCATACCTATAAAAAGCATTATCTTTTAAAATATTCATAATTTTGTTTTTAAAATTTTTCAGATGAAGTTTTGCAATCTTGTTGGGTAATTTGTAAAAAAGCCTGACACCCATAAAATCAGGCAACTTTTGACATTTTTTAGGATTGGTGAATTTTGGTAAGATGTCACCTTCATTTCGTGTATTATTGTGAGACTAATGGAAGAAAGGGGAGATTCCTCGAGCGTGGAGTTTTCCGCACGAGTGTACCAAAACCAAAAAGAATTTAAAGCCAATTTTATTTGATCTTTTATCTAACATCTGACAGCTGTCATTTAGTTTTAACCTTACTTTTTTCCAAATTTAACTTAAAGCCAACTTCAGCCAGTTGGCAAAATGCTATTTCCCCACTAGTGGGAGAAGTAAAATTTTGCCCACCGGTTAATGTTGAGAAATGAAATGGAAGTTAAATAAATATATTTAAATGTATTTTTTGAAAAAGTAATGACTCTTTTCAATTTGGCAGATTGTTGATAGGTAATTAAAATATTTCTCCCGGATGTGCGAGATTAATATATAAACATATGTATATAATTTATTTTAATAGCAAATTTTAAGGTTTTATCTATTTATTTAAGGGACATTCCATGACAAACGATACTAAGGGTTAAAAAATAAATATGTTCTTTTAGCATTATATCTAATGAATTTTGAAAGAAAACATTCCGAATTATAATGTGCAACAAAAAAAAAAACTATAAGAAACTCGTAATTTTTAAGTTAGTCTTCAAAATCTGTACTTAAGTGAACTGGCTGAATGACCATTGTGCCTCTAACTATTGGAAATACGAAAAAAAACCTGTCAATCTGTCAACCGTTTTGCCACGATGTAATTTGAGAATATTTATCGTAGTATCGCAGTCCCGAAAAAATTGATAATTATCACGTTATAAGTTCTTCTTACTTTGCCACTGTAACACCCGAAACGAAAAATCATGTAATTGTTTCATTATTATACCTTACAGATTGATTAGTTTAATAATATTTAGTAAAAGTAACGTTATGTTGGTAATAATTTAAAATACTAACTAATATCTGAGCATGAGACTAATTAAATTTTGATATGTGTTTTTCTTGATTAAAAACTGTAACACTCGAAATGTTTCGGGTGTTACAACTTTTTTCATATGTCGATATATGTGTGTGTATTGCTTGAAGAAAGCAATAAGTATTATTTTTAAGGCTCTTTCGACGGCCCATTTGCGCCGCCATCGGAAAAGCAGTAACACCTCTTTTAAAGAGGCTTTTCCGATGGTGTTGACGAACCTACCAAAATTTCGGTATTTCTACCTAAATGGCAATGGACCCACCAAAATACCGAATACTTAGATTTTCGTCAATAATTATGTTTCTACCGATTTTTGGTAATAATAACGATTTTACCTTTTTTCCGATTTATCAATCGTACCTGAAGCTGCTTAAGTTATGTTTAAGGAGAATTCATTATATTTATTTGTTACTAACTTATTTTGTAGTACCTAGTACTAATAAAACACCGATTTTGTCCATATAAAGTGTTTAATTTTTGTACTTTTAACACCCAAAACTGAACCATGGTAACACCCGAAACAAAGTAAAATTTTATAAAAAAAAATAGTAAATCGTTATTTGTGACAGTGATTATGTGGTATATGGTAAGTAAATATTATACTTTTGGAGGCCTGTAATTTTTAGGAATGTTTCCCTAAGAAAATTCGCTGATTTTCAAATAAATGTAACAATGGTCAGGACATAGAGGCAGAATCGTGAAAATCGTTATCCTATATGCTAAACTAATTTTACAATTTAGATAAAACAACTAAAAACGTAGAGAATATATTCCCTTATAAGGGACTTTAATTGCTAAAATGTTATTTCAAAATACATACAAATTTAGACTTTGGTTGAAGAAATGTAACGATGGAATGACCCTTAAATAAATGTATCCTAACTTACACGAATTTACTAATATAAAATTAAATATTGAATACTTAGGTGTTACCGGTAGACAATAGGTACATTTAAAAAACATCTAATTTAAAAATTATCCCTAATGCTTGCGCATAGGTACAATAATTGAAAAATGAATTATATCTCTGAATTAAAGTTTTCCAGGTGCTGAATTTAAATAAATGTCAAGGTAGTTAGTTGCATGACAATTTTTAAAAGAACCATTCGCTCAAATAATTTGAGTCAAATTTAAAATAATTTATTTTTTAAGTTGTGTGGGTGGAAAAATAAAGTAGTTATCTATAACTATTAAGTATAGACTATAATTTATAGTACCTATAATACACAACTAGACGAATACAAATATAACCATAAAATGTTGGAAGTTTTATCAATATTTGTTTGTTATAGGTACCTAGGTTTTAAAGTATTTTTGTAAATATTTACCTTAATTTTGAAATTTATGCATTGAAAATGTTCGTATAAAGGTATTATGGTATTATGTGGTAACATTTCTTTGATTATAAATAAATGTTTACCTTAGTTAAATCATTTAACTTAAACTTAAAGATTAGGGTACATTGACCATAATTTTTGTTATTTTTCACATAGAAACACTTACCTGATTTTCCTGCAGCATTTGTGATATTTTGCTCCACCATAATCGCGTGAAATTCTTTGTAAATCACACTGTAAGAGTTGATGACTCCAAACAAGATGCCATTGCAAAAAAACGATGCCAACATGACTAGCCAGGCCCTGGTGCCGCCGTCCGGAGGCGTAAAGGCCTCCTCAGCGGTGGCAACCTCCTTCTTCGGCGTCCCATTCTGCTGAACGCTCCTAGGAGCGATAACTTCCACCCTTCCGTTCACCAGGTTAGCGTCTTTGTCTTCTACCATTCTCGGATGATTACTTAAGGCACTTCACTCATTACCGCGGTCTTTTTTCGTGAGTCAGCGGTGTTCCACAGCACGTGTTTAACAGCAGTGACAGACTGCTCCTACTCCAGCTTGACCTAGTGCGTGGAGGTGGAGCACATGAAATTGCCGCGATCGGGCACCGTTCGTTCGTCTACGACCTTTTTACGCTTGCGTACATTCGAGTCCAATTTTAAACTTGGGAGCCGTCTATCAATAAACACGCGACGGTTTTTCAATTTTGTGCTAACGATTTAAAATACAAGATTGTTTGCAGTTTTGTTCATTGTTTTCTTGACTTTTTCTGTCAATATTGATGTTAGTTTGAAATATTTCGAATTGTTTCGTGGTTTTATTTTAATTTTAATCATACAAGGTTTTTTAGTTTTAAGAGGATCTTCTGCTATGGTCATTTGGTCTTTAGAAATTTAACTTTTTATTTTATTTGACTTAATTTTATTATATTTTTTGGTCCGGCTTTGAACCCTAAACTTTGCCCACTGAACTTTTCCAACCAGTGAAGTAAAAATGTGACCGAAAATTCTTGAAAATCTGTGGTTTTAGGTTTTTGGGGTCAAGGCATGTGTACCTACTACACAATTTTAGGTCAAAATGTACAAAAACATAATGGATGATTTAAAACTGAATTCCTTAAAGTTTACAAAAATTAGTGCTTGTAGGTTTTCTGAGCGGAAAAATTTATATTTGACATCCACATTTACGAAAACAAGATGGCCGACCGTATCAGTCAAAATAGACGATTATTTCGCAAAAATGAGTTTTTGCTTGTTTGATTTTAAATCATTTCATTGGTTTAGAAACCAAGCCTTCTTGATTTAAATGTTTTGGTAATTTTTTTATGAAATCAAACTGTATTCTATAAGAATATTAGCTGTATCCCAGGGGCTTCGCTCGCGTGGTTGTAAGAAAAAATAAGAGGTCATTTTAACATTAAAACAAAGCAACTATCAAACCAAATAAAAACAAGTAAAAAAAAAGTTGACCATGTCCGTCCCCGGGTGTCAAACTATCTCCATTATAAATTTGATCAAAATAATAATATAATATAAGTTTGACAACCCTGATTAAAATACCCCATAGAGACCCTGTTAAAACCGATAGATATTTGTATCGGAATGTATGGTGTTTCTATAGGGTGTATCGGTATGTATAGGACCCATAGTTGGGATTTATGGTTGTTCTATAGGGATATCCACCCTTGATTTATTTGCTATTGGTTTCAATGGGGAAAATACACATAAATATAAAAATTAGTATTTTTCCCCATAGGACCACATAGGTTTTAATAAAATTTTGTCAAATGTTTTATGGTTGTTCTATAGGGAATTATTTGCTATCGGTCTCTATAGGGAAAATGTAAAAGTTATGGTGTGCCTATAGGTAATTTCCTATAAATTTTCTATCGGGCCGTATCCGGAAAAAAACCATGGACAAATGCACATATTGAATCCGGTAGCGCCCGATAGATTATTTTGTATAGGTCTCTATGGGGTATTTTAAGCAGGGAAAGACAGTTAATATAGAAGTAAAAACAAATAAATAAAAGTAATTATAACGCTCTAGCAACGATATTGAAACGTGCTATAGCAACGTAGAAGCTACGTTCCAAATAGTAGCAGGGTTTATAGCTAGTGACATATTTGTTAACTTTTTGGAACTCATGACAATTATTGCAATAATTGTTCCCCACTTTAGTCGTAACTTAGTAATGAAAGAGTAATATATATATATAGAGACCGGCGACTGTCGCAAAACACTTTAAAGTTTCTTCAATAGTCCCATTTACGTAACAAAAACTTAAATTGTTGCTTGGGTAGGTACCATATTTAAAAAAAAACTAAAATAAGCTACTTAGAGGAATAGTGATGGCACCATTAGCAACTACGCTGGATTATTTGCAAGGCCAAGGAACGACAATTTTTGGGTATCTCCTACCTAGCTTCATTTCCCAGAAAAACAAATTACTTTAAATGCAAAACGACAATTTAAAGTATGGGGAAGAAATTATTTCAACAGCCATATTAAAAGATTTAAATGAGTGGTTTACAATATATTTATATCTTAATCTAAAAAATCAGGATGCAATAATAGCCGCTGCACTTTGTCCAAATTTAATGCTTATATGGTTATAACTCTATAGAAGGATGTTTGGAATTAAAAATATGCACCATATTTTATCTTATAAATAAAAAAAGAAATTGCCAACTTTGAACAACTTGCATTTTGTTAGTTGAACATATAAAAAAATAAAATTGTTAATGCTGCCACATAAGTTGAATCAAAAGCAGCAACTCAGGAAGATAACTCGCCAGATGAATCGGTGAATTTAATGAACATAAATCCCTAGATGATAAAAGTAGAAACCTGCAAATGTTAAACACTTTATAGTTTTAAAGAAATTGGTAATTAAATACCACCATAACACATCATCACCTCCAGTTGAGAGATTATTTTCTTTTGCGTCAATAACACACCAAGACGCTATTAGGGCCGGTTTATCAATGTCCGGTTGCAGTTAGTTATCTGGCAGATAATCTCCAAGGATACCATTGTTCTCACAACTATCGACATGGAATTTAACTGGCGATAGACCAACTGGAGAACCAGAGATTGATAAACCGGCCCTTAATGACTTAAACTTTGAAAAACTGAGCCCCATGGGGCTCATAAAGGCAAATCTGTCGGTTTTAAAAAGACAATAAAAAATCCATATTGGTTTGTTTAAGTTTTTGTAATATTAGAGTTTTGATTACAGAAGTAATGAGTAATCGATTACAATTTTAAAGAGTAATCAGTTATCAGTAATTAATTACATTCTAAAAAAGGAATCAGTAATCGATTACTTTAGCTGTAATCGTCCCAGCTCTGTATGCATGGATGGATTATTTGTACGGTTTTTTTATTGCTAAATAGGTTTATTTGAACTTATTTTACGTTTCTGAAAGTTAATTTTTATAAGCATTTTATACAGGGTATCCCGAAAATTAGTTGGTTAGTTTTCATTCTTAAAACGTTTCAAAGCTAAAATATTGTTTCTTTAAAGCTTAGCAAGTATTAGCATGAAAGTTGTTTTAGATAATAATCTTAGATTGAGACGAAATCTAATCGCGACAAAAAAATCCCTGCCAAAACACCGACATTTTTTTAAAAGTCCATCTAAATATTAGAATTTAGTTTTTTTTTAAACAATACCAATTAAAAGTACAGTTACGGAAAGAAGTAATGTCCATTTGAATGCTCCATTGTAATTGTTCGGAGGCATTCGGAAATAGTCAACATCTGCCTCTTAGGGATTTACTACCTGCTCGTATTGAATTAATTATTTTGGGGATTTTACATATTTAACTGTATTTTTATTAAATCGTTAATTTTTTTATATATTTTTGTATAGTTTTATAAACATTAATTCTTATTTTTTCATATTAATATTTAAAATTTTTATATTAATATTTTAAATGTAGGACAAATTTTTAAATATTTGATAAAAAATATCGAATATTTATTTTTAAAGCACCTCAAAAATATTGTTCAGAATCTCAAAAAAATGTTCCTGTTAAAATTTAAGCTCTTAATATTACATTTACGGGTCCTTCATCGGGAATTTTTATTTCCCATTAAAATAATATGAGATTTTTTTAAAATACTTTAAAATAGTTTAACTCGGATTAGTAAAACTGAAACAAATTTTGGTAGGGCTCTTTTAAAAGGTATTCAAGGTAAAAGTTGAATTTATAGAAATTTTCAAGATTTTCAAACTTTTTCATCGAAACAAAATTTATGGTAAAATTTAGTAGGACCCTTTTTTAGGAAAATATTATCTAAAACCATGAGCAAAGAAAGCTGCCTTTTTATTTAAAAAGAAATGGTAAATAATTACATTAATAATTGAGGGGAATCCGTGCAAAACCGGCTATATCCACTTTAATAAAATGTTGGGAAAATGGCAAAAACTCTCGGTTTCCTGGCCTTTACAGATAAAAGAAAAAGCAAACTTGAGTTTTGTGGGCTTTATGGTACTTGATTTATAAGAAATACTTTCGTTTTCAAAAACTTTATATTAAGGCCAAAATTTCAAAAAATGTTTTGTATATAGCCGGTTTTGCTCAAAAACCGAATAAAAAACGAATAAAATGTGAAAAAAACCTTTATTATTCAAAAATATTAACAAAATAAATTTAGTGCAAACATGAAAAAACAGAACAAATTTTATTAGTAGTATCGACATATCCAAGCCACATGCTCATCATCATTATTATTTATTGGATATAGCCGGGTTTGCTATAAAAACGTGGATTTGGCCGGTTTTGCTCCTAAAGCTACCTTTTAAATGTGATTTTAACATGAATATAGTCGGATTTAAACAGAATTATCTTGGTTGTCGTAAAATGGATTTAGCCGGTTTTGCACGGATGCTTCTCAATTATAGTTGAAGCATGGCATTCCCAAAGGGTTTGGACCAAATTTGGTCAAATATTATATTATAATTTAAAAATAGTCTATGTGCCATGCAAAACGACTAAAAAAATTTTCTCCATATTATTTTTGTATTTTAAAGATGGATGGATTTTCATTGATTTCTCACAATTTTATTTTTGACACTTAGAGCCTTTGGGAATACCAAGTTAAATTATTATAATAATTATAAATTTATGCCGTTTCCATATTTTATTGGATTTTTATACATTGAAATAAGTTGGTATTGGGCAGATATTTCATAAAACAAGTAATGAAAACTAAAATGTTGATGATAGTATATTATTATTTATTATACGAGAGATAATGCAGGCTATTCAAAAGGATAAGGTTTGCACGTCGAGCCGTCAGGCGAGATACGTAATTCATCCGAGTAAATCATGCGCATTATTTCGAGTGTAATACTATGTTTTTTCTACTCCAATTAAGTAATTTTCATTGATAACAAAATTTATTATAACCTCACTTTTCTCCTATTTTAAAGATCATTATAGTCGCCCTTGGTATATATAAATAAATCTGACATCTGTCAACCTTACTTTTTTCTAATTTAAAACCCGATTGGTTCAAATAACAGTGAATATTAAAATAAGCCAATCACTGATACA